CTGGGGGCCAGGCAGGACTGCCAGCTTCTCCATCCTTCTTCCTTGGGGTCTTGGCAATGGCGTACTTCCTCCTTTGTCCTCATGCCTCTCTCCTTCTGTCGCCCCACTCCCCATGCCTAAGAGGGATTGGGAAGGAGGTCCTGGCAGAAAAAATTCTGTCCTCCCAAATAACTCACACACACGCATACACACACACGCACACACACAACTCGCCTCCTCCCTTCTCACTTCTGGCACAACTCTCTCAACCAGATTGGCAAGAGGCACTGCCACCCTCCCCCATTCCTCACACTGTCAGAGCCTATGCCAGGCTCCTTGGGCAGTGCCAGCATCCACCCACCTCACACCCAGGTCCCCCTGCCTCTCCTTAGTGCTCTGACAAAGGGCCAGACTGCCAACCCCACTGGGCTCTCCCTGGGGAGCTGTGGCACAGTCCCTCTCCTGGCTCTTAGATGCTTTCTTGGCACTTCCCTGGCTTCTCTCCACCACTTTACTTTCCCAGCCTAGAAGAGGACTAACTACCCCACAGTCCAACCATTCCTCAGAGCTGAGCGGTAGAGGAACAGCAACACCAGCCAATACCCCTGCCCCTCCTCTCCACCTCCTGGGGCCCATTCCCACTGCCCCAGCTCAAGGCACCAACCTGATGGATGTGATGCCAATGGCTCCCGGGTACCAGCCTTCCTCCCAGAGCACCAGGACTCCTGCCGCTGCTCCCCTCCCTACTCGCCTCCTTCCATCTCCTCGGGCACAAGGGTGGCAGCTGTAATGCCAATGCCTATAAGCAGGCAGCATGAAGCAGCTCATGTTTCCTCTTCTGCCCTCCCAGGCCCCACACCTCTCCCCTCCTTCCACTCCATCCCTCTGTTCTTCTGGTTGGACACTAGGTTGGCAACCGCAGTGTCAACCCCCACCCATGCCCAGGAGGCTCACATACAGCACGCACTTATGCATACATGTACATGCGCGCACACACACGCACACACACACGGCCCCATGAGTGCCAGGCAGCGGTGGCAGACACACAGCAATGCATAGTGACTGGTATACCCGAGGAGTCACCCAGATTCAGCACCTGATCCAACACCCATTTGAGATTGGGTGGGTAGGCGGGCGGGCAGGCGGGCGGGCGGAGGGGAGATGGAGGCAGACGATGGCCCTAGGTTGGCAGCCGATGGAGCCGGGAGAATGGAGGGAACAGATGCTCTTTGCCCAGCCTCCCTCCCTCTCTCTCTGAGATCAGTGCCAAGCTGGGGGGATGGGGAGAGGGGAGGATGGGGGAAGGGTGGCATTTGGAAAGCTGGCAGGCGGGGGTAGGTGGGTCCGCCCAGGCTGGGCAGTGCCGGCACTGGCTGCCGCCTCTCCACTCTGCCATCTGTCTCGCTTCTCTCCCCACCCCTTTTCTCTCTCTTTCTCTCTCTCCTTCATCCACAGCAAAACGAAAGAGGAAAGCAGGGTCCTCATTCAGCACACCCCCAACCTCTACCAGACCCCCTCTCCTCCTTCCCACAACTCACCACACCATACCACCACCAAGCCATCTGTGCTCTCTCCTCCTGGCTCAGTCACCTTCTTTCATTCGCCTTTGCCCTCACACCAAAACGGGTGCAGTATTTTTTAAAAAATATATACATATATATTTTAAAAAGCAACTTAAAAGAAAAACTCTTTTCTTTGGGATGTCCTGTCCTTCTGCGTCTGGGTCCTCGGTGCCAATGTCTGTGGCAGGCAGTGAGGGGACCCTGTCCTCAG